TAATCTGTCTTTAGGAGAGCTGTATCTCGCTTCGATCATCTTCTCATGGCCAAAGTAGGCAGTCTCTAGAGCTAGTCTCAGCTGACGATCTTGTATGTTACGACATATTTCTTCGAAGTCATTGCAGATAACGAGCACAACTTTCTGGTCATCCCTTTTCTCCATCATTTCTATTGTACCTATGCCTATCAGTTGATGGTACACTTTTCTATTTCTCGAAATGTTGATTCCTTTACAGTTCCAAGGCCGAAGCAACTCATTTTCGGGGCGAGTCCTTCATACCAGAGAATGGTTTGTTTCTCCTCCTCTTTTTCCTCTTCCCTTTACTCCATCTTCGCCTTCACTTTTTTCTTTCTCTCTTCCTGTTGTCACTCCATGTTTCCTAGTGTCATTCTATTTGTTGTGTTTTGGTGCTCAGCTTCTCGACGCCCACCTCCGAGATGCTTTTCTGTTGTTCACCATCTCACTGTACCGCATGCCCACTGGCAGCTGCGACCACTCCAATTGGCGCTCTGCTGACCCTCTATGCTGACGATTGCCGAGTGAAACCAAAATAGTGTAACCGTTTTGGGCAGAATGTTGGGGAAAGGATTGATTTCACTTGTCTCTCTTTGACGAGTCCGTAGGTTGGTGCGGCGAATGGCAAAACTGACTGATGCTGCCGACTACGATGCCGGCGTTCTACTAAGTCGCCCTGACAACAAGACCAAGTCGCGACAACGAGGTCAACCAACTTCTATCAATCGAAAGGAGACTGCGACCGTACCAGAAACCACACCATCTTGGGCTTTATTTCTTCAAAACCAAGCCCTGTTCGCTTCGACAGGAATCCCAACAACTCGTTGAATTGTTACAGAGTTGCAGGCTTCATGAGATATCGCTTTTGTGTACATTTTGGCGCACATGTCGACCCAAATGAGCCAACTTTTCTCGAGTCCAGTCTCTTGAACGAGGAAACAGTCAAAGGAGATTGTCGCGCAAGCAAATAAGCGAGCCTCAGTCAATTTCACTTGGTCTTGCATACGAAAAGATTTTCTCATACCGACCTGACCACTTGTAGGATTGAAAGGAAAATTCTATCAGCACCACTTAAATCACATTAACTGACTCTGGTCGAGTAATTTAACAGTGAAGACTTACTCTCACTTTCGAAACATACTCATATCCTCAAAGGATGCATGTGTTTTATTCTTGGCAAACTGGCCCTGAAGATACCATCATGTGATAGGAATGGCTTAGTTAATGATTGTCGTTGTTGGCCTCTGTCTCTTCACACTGGCCCCATCGGCTCGTTCACTTTGCGTTTCGGATCAGTCCGTTCTTTTCGTTCCACTCAATTGTCGCGCTCTCGAGTCCTCGCCTCAACTTCTGGTCCAATTTGGTGGAACTGTTCAACCATTGCACAGCACTTTTTTTGCAATTTCACCATTGAAACTATGTTGAGCCTACTTCTTTTTCTAAGGAAAGAGGGCGAAATGTTCGATAAATTAAAGGGCCGATTCCACCAGAAGAGGACAGCCAACTCTAAGAACATTCTTGCCGGCGCTGTCCTCGGGAAAATAGCCATTTATGCCGGAGAAAATATGTTAAGATTTAATGAGCTTAACATGAGTGATGAAGCGATTCGCAAGTCGATCTCGCCAGAAGACGACAGCCGAATCCCCTTCATCAGCGATCAGTTGGCTTTACTGGAACAAGACCGTCGTGTTGCAGACATGGCCAGAACAACTTCAGGCTATGATTTAAGTGACCAAGTCAATTTTAACCTCATCAAAACGTATTGGTTTAGGGTCTGGTGAACAGTCATAGAGACAGTATTTCGTGGTGAACTGATGAGTTTATCAGCTCAAATATGGTTTGACTTCCGTTGAGGGTGTTGATACGACCGATGCGAGGTCGAAACTGCCGTCCGCCCCAGCCGGGATGAGAACAACTTTTGGGAAAGCAAGCCAATGTGAAATTCAATGGAAATGTCAACTCTATTCATAT